GCAGCCGCCAGCGTCCCGGGGAAGGGCCGTCCCTTTCCGCGGGTTGGAGGCCCTCGAGGGAGGCTGCTCCTGGCCTAGGGGTTGAGCCTTCGGGGGTGCAGAGTCTAAGGCGCTCGCAAACTAGAGCCGCTCTCCCCGGGCAGGCATGCAGGACGGAGCTACCTTTTCCCAGGCCTCGAAGAGCTCCTTCGCCCATCAGTGCCCCCTGGAGGGCCCCCGGGACGAAGGGGGCTGGTCAGATCCCTAGGCCCAGCCGGGTGTCCAGGCGCTAAGAGAACGGGCCGCTCCACCGCGGCTCGCCAGCGCCACCCCCCGCGGAGCGCAGCCCCTGCAGCCCGGCCCGGCCCCTTCCTGCGGCTCCCGCTCCCCGGTGGGCACAGCAGGCGGTGCGCGGGAGGCGGCGGAGCCTCCCTTCCGAAAAGGTGCCCAGGGGTCTCAGCGTGAGGTCTGCAGATGCCAGGGGTCAGACTTGGCGCGTTTCCAGGTAGATTCTGCGGGCGCCTGGACCTGGGCCTCGAGGGGGCGCTATTTGACCCATTCAAGGGCCAGAGGGGCAGAGAAGCCCGGGGTCGAGGCCCTGGCAAAGGCCAGGGCGTGGAGAGCCTGAATCCAGCTAGATTTGCGGGGGGAGAGGGGGGTGGAGACGGGACTGGAGATCAGAGCCAAATCCCCGAGGACAAAGACGGGCGGGCCAGTGGGGTTCACCCACGCCGCCCAGCGCTGCCCCAAGGACCTCAGTGGCTCGGGGCGCGAACAAACTTTGCTGCCGTGGAGGGTGGAGGGCGGGGAGCCGGCTGGAGACTTCTCCCGGGGCCTCCGCTCCCTCCACCTGCCGCTGTGCAACCGCCGCCCAGCCTGCTCCCGCCCCGGCTCCCTCCCCGCCCCAGCGCGCCTCTGCTCACTTAGGCTCTTCTCTCCCCTCTCCCCTCCGCCTTCTCCCTCTTGCATTTCTCCCCCACTTTTCTCCTCTCTTTCCTCCTGTGCCTTCTTTTGTATTCTCTCCTCCCTCGATGCCTAGGTTGCTTCTCTCCTCCTCCAGGCCGCCGGGAGGAGGTGAGCGCGCTGCGCCTGGGGCCTGCGCGGCGCAGAGGGAGGCGTTTCTCCCACTTCTCCGGGGTAATTTGGAGAGGTTGTCTGTGCGCGCGCGCGTGAATGTAAAGCGAAAAGGGGTAGGATCCAGCGCCAAGCAGAGAGGGTCAGGGTCTTTGACATTCCTCACCAGCAGCACAAACCTCCCGGAATAAGGAACCGGTGTGGGTGCCAGTGCGCGCGCGCGCACGGGCTGGCTGCGCTCCTGGACACCTCCAGACCCGCACAGCCTCGCGCCGCGCCTCGCCTCACCTGGCCTCGCCACCGCGCGCCTTTGGGAACTCGCATCCTCTCCCTTCCCCGGCTCATCCATGGGCCCTTCTGTCTTCCGGACCTCGGGAGCCGGTGGAGCGCCTTCTAGAGCGCAGGGCTTGGCGTCCGGTCTGCCCTCGGCTCTGCCTCCAGTAACGCCGAGCGGGCGGAGGACCCGACGCTGGGCACCCGCAGCCGCTTAAGGAACTGAGGCAGGACCGCGGGGGCTGAGGCGGGAACAAGCTAAAGAAGAGGAAGGCGAGCCAGGCACAGCCACCATGGCCTTCCCGCACTTTGGTCACCCGTATGGCAGCGCTTCCCAGGTAAGAGGCGCCTCCTTGCGGGGCTGGGGCGACTGGATGGAAGGGGTACCCAGTGCACCCGCCTGTCCCTGAGCGCCCTCCTCTCGAGTGGGTCCCCCGGGAAACCAGAGGCAGCAGGGACCAGGTAACTCTGACATCCTCAGGTCCTAGCCGGGAACCTTCCACTCCCCCAGCGCTAGCTGGAAAATCGGGTGACCCGAAACTTGGACTCTCTGACCCTGCGCTCAGCGAGGAGGGTGGGGCCTCTGAGAGCTGCCAGACAGGCGTCCTTACTGTGCAGATAGCCTCGGAGGCGGCCAGGAGGGTCTCAGGAAAGGAGACCCTCAGTCCAGGACTCTGTCCATCACACAACTGTCCTGCTGCTGTTCTGGTTGATTGACCTCTGTTCTTGTCTTCTCCCTTCCTTGGGTCGGTCCAAGCTCTCAGCTTCTGGTTCCTTCAGTTTCACAGGCCAGTGTGGGTGTTGTGCAGGGACCAGGGTTTCCTGGAGGAATTCTGGGGATGCCCACCACTGTTCTCCAGTTTCTTTCCAGACTGTGGGGTGTATCTTCCTGGGGTCTAGTCCCTGCCGGACCTCTGACCCGCTTGGTGACCTTGGGCCGGTCTGCACTTACTCAGGTCCTCACGCCCTTTCTGTGAAATGTGTGTCTGTCTGTGTGGGACGTGACGAAGGTCTCCAAGGCCAACTTCTAGCTCTGCCTTTGCAGACCCTGTGATGGGGAAGGGGCGGGCGTCTGCGAGGGAACCAGCCCGGTAGGTTTCTGAATGTCCTCCATGGCCGGACCCCGTGGGAACCTGAAACCCTAGCAACAGCTTAGGAGTGCCTGCCTGTAAGGGCAGTTTGGATGAGTCGAGTCTTCGGATCATTCCTGTTCAGTGCTCGGCAGAATGCTGGGCACGCGGTGGCATTTAGGTGATGTGGAATGAAGGAGCAGTCTGGTGTTCCGGTCTCTGACCTCCCATGCCTTCTCTCTCGCCCCCGTAGTTTCTGGTGTCGGCAAATTCCAGCGCCACTTGCTGCGAATCCTCCCCAAGCTCTGTCCCAGACGTGGCCTCGGGCTCCACCCCGGCGGCGGCGGCTCTCTGCTTAGCACCCTACGATAGCCGGCTGCTGGGCAGTGCACGGCCGGAGCTGGGCACAGCCTTGGGCATCTATGGAGCCCCCTACGCGGCCGCTGCAGCTGCCCAGAGCTACCCTGGGTACCTGCCCTACAGCCCGGAGCCACCCTCGCTGTATGGGGCGCTGGTGAGTGCAAGGGGTGGGACCTGGGTCTGTGCGCCAGAACCCACCCGCCCAGGGGCAGAAGCCCCAGCAGCTTCAGGTGAAATCCATTGTGACATCTCCAGGGAAAATCTAGGAAGGACGCCCAACTCCGAGGACAGGCAGTGGTTAGGATTGTGTGAAGGGGAAAAGCCCATCTTTGCACCACGTTGCAGTTTGCAGAAGCCCATGCTGCTTAGGAAATATTTGCATCTCTATTCATAGGCTAGGTGGGCAAGTCATCACTTTCCTCAATGTGCAGCTGAGGAAGCTGAGGTCAATACCTTACCCACAGTCACCGAGATAGCCAGGGTCAGGGACCAGCCCTGCTGGAAACTGAGGCAGGGAAGTCCCCCAGCTGGTGGCAGGAGGGGAGGGACACACAAGTGGTAACTGTAACAATAACCGCTAACATGTAACTACTGCTTATGCTGCACCAGGAATTCTGCCCCACGCTCTTTTTCAATAGCCCATAGGGACCATTATTATTTTCCCCAGTTAGCAAGGGGAAGCGGAGGCGTGGAGTGGTTAGCAACTGTTCCCAGGATCACACCGCCAATGCGAGGTCGTGGGTACTGGAATTTAAGCCAGACCAGACTCCTCTAGAGTTTACACCCTTAGCAACTGCCCTCCCTCGTCTCCTCCCCACATGGTGGGAGAACTGAATTCTGGCTTCCTTCCCCCCCAGAACGCACAGTATGAATTTAAGGAGACTGCAGGGAACTTCACACCCAGCCTGTCACAACCAGGAGCCTATTGTCCCTATGAGCCAACTCTGGGGCAATACCCCTATGACCGGTAAGGTGTGGGGGGCACTGGTGTCTGGCATGGAAAGTCCTGCCCCATCCACGGCCCCGTAGGGCTGATCTGGGCAGCGAGTAGGAAGGGGAATGAGCGGGGAGGGACGGGCGCAGAGCCCATTCACAGGCCACACGCCATCTCCCGCCTGCTGCCCCAGGTTGCCGGCCCCAGGACCCTGAGTCGGGTTCTCACCCCGCAGGTACGGCAGCGCGGTGGAGTTGACTGGTGCCGGGCGCAGGAAGAATGCCACCCGGGAAACCACGAGCACGCTCAAGGCCTGGCTCCAGGAGCACCGCAGGAACCCCTACCCCACCAAGGGCGAGAAGATCATGCTGGCCATCATCACCAAGATGACCCTCACCCAGGTGTCCACCTGGTTCGCCAACGCGCGCCGGCGCCTCAAGAAGGAGAACAAGATGACCTGGGCGCCCAAGAACAAAGGCGGGGAGGAGAGGAAGGCGGAAGATGGGGCCGAGGAGTCACTGGGCTGCCTACACAGTGGCGACACCAAAGGTACCAGCAGTGAGCACCACCCCAGCTGCCTGCGGGGTAGCTTTTATGGAAGGCACTGCTCCCTGACCCTGGCACGTGCATCCCCTGCAGGCCTCAGGGCCGGTGCCTGCTGGTACCCTCTGTCCCGCCTTCCCTACAGAACCAGTTTCTTCTGGACTTTAACGTGCCACCTCTGCAGGGCCCTTCCTGGCCGCCTAAGGCAGCCCAGCTCTCTGGTTCTTCTCTATGGCCAGCCCCTCCTATTTCCTTCGCCACCTTCGCACTGTGACCCCTTCAAGAACCTCAGTGCCTCCAGAAGCCCTTTCCCTGAATGAATGCCTAGGTGATGTCTGGCACATCCTTAGCCCTTCATCCATATGTGCTGAATCACATCCTACCCACCAGCCAACTGTGCGCGTGGAAATGCGGGAGAAATTATCCCCTTGCCTTTATATGGTTGAGAGAGGGAGACCCAGGTCTTAGCGACAACAACACGGTGCGGGTTCCCCTGGCCTGGGGGCGAATGGAGAGGAGGAGACATCTGGTGGGGTGGGGTCAAGGCTGAGACGGGCATTCTCTCCCTGGGGCCAGGGTGAGGGCTGGTGAGGTCAGTCTGGTGGATGACTCCCAGAACGCCCTGAGAGCAGGGCGCATCTCGCTAAAAGCTTCTGGGGAAGGGCACTCCCGCGGATTTCCCCGGGGGCCTGGCGCTTTTCTCACTCCCTCCTGATGTCCTGCAGACCTCGCTGCGAGCCGGGAAGCTCGGGGATTCCGGCTGAGTGACCCGGAGGACCTGGAGGAAGAAGAGGGGGAGGAGGAGGAGGAAGAGGAAGAAGAGGAGGCAGCGGTCCCAGCTACGGACAGGCTTGCTGAGTTCCAGATGGACGCGCAGGCTCGGGCGACGCCATGCGCTGCAGCTCCAATGGGCCGGCGGGAGCGCAGGGAGTGCGGCCTGGGGGCGCCCCGCTTCTCTTTAAATGAGCCCCCGGGATCGGGAGACGCTGACTTCCTCCAGGCGGAGCCAGGGGCCCCCACGCTGACCACGCACTACCCCTGCAGCCAGAAGCCGCGCATCTGGTCTCTGGCGCACACGGCCACGGCCAGCGCTGTCCAAGGGGCACCACCCACCCCGCCCAAGCCGCGGAGCCCCGAGTGCTGCCTGATTCTCC